TTTCAAGGAAACTGTGTAATTATGTAAAATGTCAAAGTAATGCATTTGGAAAGTAAATTGAGTGAGACAGACCTTCCATTAGTATCATATTAGAATCCCATGTTTTTAGTCTCTATAAAAATAGATAGTTAAAAGGCAAATAAAATGCAATGTCAGAGACTTAAGTGATGTGGATAATGAGAACCCGTGTTGTTATTGTCTGCAGAGTGCAGGTAATGAGATGAGGCAGAAATGTGGAAATAAGCTAAGCCCAAATTAGAACAGCCACCAGGAAGTATTTTTTCATGAAATAGACTATTTGTTATTTGCTGGGATTTTCAAGGCTGAGGAGAGCATGGTGGGGGGGGGGGGGGGGGGCCCCCCCCAAGAATGCATGCTTAATTTTCCGAATCTTTTTATATAGTTTTGTTTTCAATGCAAAAAATTGAAGTCACAACTATAATGGTTAGTTTTTATGTCATGCATTATGTACATTAAAAAGTATTTTTGAAGTAAGAAAATATTGAGACGAGTAAATAAGCATCTGTTTTTTCTTGTCCTATTTAAGCTGATCTGGATTTCAAAATTCAAAATAACCTTTTATGGGAAAATGCATGCAATGGGTCTGCAGTCTGTCTCAGACCAGACTGAATGGATCTGGGTGACTTTTTGTCTCAGAGAAGTTTTTAGAGGGTTATAACCTTCACGAGTTGTATTGGAGCTCCTTTGTGCTTGCTCCTGCAACATCTACAGCTTCTAGGCTTCTGTCAAGAGGGAGGGTTGGTCTCTTCAGTTGTAGATATACTGTTCGTGTCTATACAGCTCTCCCATCCTCCCCATAGTATATGAGAGTCTTATGTTTCCCCTTGATTCCATTTATCTTTCCACTCCTTGCGTTATGGTGCATAAGGGTTATGCTTTAGTTCAGCAAAACCATCCTTGAAAAATTGGGTGAAAAATGATTGCTTTAGAGTAATAATTTTTTCCTTCCCATAAATTAAAATAGCAATAGAAAATCAATTTAGTTTTCAAGATAGAATCATCTATGTCTCGCCTGCCTACTCTGAGTTCAACTAGAACAGTTCTGTGACAGCAGGTTCTATGGGAAGATGGGAGAAGGGATCTCCTCTCTCTTTTTCTCCAGGCAGTGGATGGTGATCTGTGTGGCAGTGGTTGAGGCCCTGAGGCTGATATTGCTTCTTCATGCCTCCGCTTCCTGATGCGTTGAGACACACAGTAAATCTTCCTGAAGCTAGGAAGGTTCCGTGTATAAGCAGTAAAGAGTGGAAAATGATGTAGGTGCCTTTCTCCCTTCTTCCATAAAGCAATGGCATAGGGCTTCTGCTGTGTCTGAGACTTTTCACAGCCATAAAGGAAGGCTCAGGGTTTATCCTTAAGATGTATATACTTCAAAAAAGCACACTTCTATGTGCTTGCCTTTTTCCAAGGTGTTTGCAAGAAAGCCAGTCTGAATAATTCAGGTTGTTGTAGGTAATGAATTGCAAACAAAAATAGAGATAAACTGTAAGAGTATCTTTAAATCAGGATTTTCAGCTTTTGGTCTGTGAGCTATCCTTAGTAGCCCATGAAAGTAAGAAAACCAAGCATATTGTCAATGTGCTTCCACTTTCTATGTCGAGGTCTCCATCTTGATTAGAGTATTTTTAGGAGGAAAAATAAAAATAATAATTGAAAATACTGTGGAGGTAATAACATTTCTTTTGGTTGGTGGTGTTTTACTTCTGTTGCTTTCAGAATTTTCACAGGCATGTGAGAGTTACAATGTTAAATCAGTATGCAAACATTATTATTAAAGTAAAGGAGATGCCCAGAGAGAAGTCAGTCTCCCTTTGGATGAGGGATGATGATTCCCTTTTTAAGTAGGGCTCAATAGTAAGCATTGGAGTGCTAAGCAAGATAAGTGTCCTCTGCTTTGAGATGAGAACTTCTCAAAACTTCACACAAGTAGAGAAAAGGAGACAGACCACAACTAATAAACTCTAAAAGGCAAAACAAGTACCAAAAAATAAATATCAGAGACATGAACAAAGGGCTAAGTAGGATATTAAGTGACTGAAAGGAAGAAGCATAAATTACTTATCAGACTGTGGCAATGGAAAGGAAAAATAGTATTGATATGATGTAAGGGTACCCTATACGTGTATGTTTGAGGATCAACAAGTCTGCACCAACCGCCACCACCTGGCCATGTATCAGGTCTGCTGTATCTAAAAATATTTGCTTGTATCCAGTTTAAATTGACGTTGACAGTTCATGTTAGCAATCTTAGTTTTTCACCAGGCCAGATTTTTTTTTGGGGGGGGGGGGGGAGGGCAGGGGAAGAGAATTGTATCAGTCTAAGACAACAGTTTCTTTTGCTCAGGATGTGCCATGAGCCAGTGGAAGGAAAATGATCTTCAGCTCTGATCTCATGTGAGATCCTCTTTGAAGGAGCTACAGAACTTTTTGAGGAAACTAGAATTATACAAGGATGGATTTCTCAGAGTGCATTATGAGTGATGTTATTTGGCCAGAGGATGCAGCCACTTGAGAATTAGGATAAGCAATTGCATTGCCCCCAGTCACCATGAGGTGTTTTTTATTGATCAATGCATTGAAGTTGAGATGGCAGAAAAGCTGCACCAGGCTTTTTGTGGAACAAGCTGTGGGTCATCTCTTGAATGCTGGATGACACCTGAAAAGGGGGGCAGATTTGTATATTAATGATAAAATGTCAAAATTTGAAAATTCAAATCAGCAAGTTACATCTGGTTCCTTTAAATCTGTGTGCCTTGGGGCTGAATTCTGGAAGCTTTATGAGGTTTTTCATGGCTCAAGAAGTTGGATCAGCCTTTTGCCTCTAGAATTAAAAATATTCATGTTACTTTGAGTTATGTGATCCTGAAGTAGAAGAGTTGCTAGAGTGTAATTTTGTATCTATGTCTTCCTAAATAGTTAAAAACTACATTTTCGCATTGAAGTAGGTACCCCTGCTTTGCTTTATGCATAGCCGAATTGTTTGTACATGGCAAAAAGTGCCAATGTATATAGCTGAGCTGTTTGTATGTGGCAAAAAGCGGTAATGTTTTATTATGGAATTCCTGGTCTTGTTAATGTAGTTTGTATGGAACAATGTTATGTTAGCTTGTTTGATCCATTTTGCCGAGGGCAATATTTGCATTGTAATGAATTACTTTTAATGGAGCAGTGTGGGTGCAGTACAGAGAGTTCAGTGTTTCCAAATTATCAATGTTGAATAAATGCTGCACTCTTATATTTTTGTCCAGCACCCATAGTGGCTTTGTCATCAACATTTCAGTGTAGTGTAGTGCCGTGCCTTCCACTTCTGAATCTTCTGACTCTTGACACAAGACTCTTGTGACCTCTTGGGAGAGAGGTGAAAATTCACAAGAATGGCCCCTGTTGTATAATAGTAGTTGAAAACAGTTGAACAAGTTGAAGCATCTCAGCTAATTCAGATGCATACTGGTAATTCAAATGAAACAAAACCACTTTAGACTATGCTAGCTGTTAAACTTGGTGAAAACATAGCATATACCGAGCAATTCTTAGAATTCATATAAGCCATGTGGTGTATGCTTATGTGGGATAATGAGGGGTCAGTGGAGAACTCGGCATGCTTCTTGTTTGATGACATAATTAGTATCCATAATGTTTTATGCTAATATTGTTGGTGAGGATTTAATATACTAGAGCTTATTAATAAATATAACATCAAATCATCCTTCTGCCTGCCCCTGCATCAACACTTTTTTCACAGCAAATGTGGAACAGATGTTTTAAATCACTGGGAAATAATGTATCTATAGATAATGAGGATGCCTTGAGGGTATGGTTAAAGATTACTGGATTTGACTGAATCCAACTTTTATTCTTCCTCTACTTACCTTTGAAATAAATGGTGCTAGATCTGGTTAATGATGACCAATTTAATTAATACCACGAATTCATTGAAATGGTCGGATTTGTTTAGGGAAAAAAAAAAAATTAGCGGGCCTACCTAATCCTAGAGTCCTGTTGTATTTTTATATTTATGCTATGTAAAGTTAATAAACTTACTCAAAATTTGGTAAATCTATAATGATGCTATTGAAGAATTTGAAAACAGAGCATTAGTCCACGTCTATCTGTTTGGTTAAATAAAGTACAAGGATAGTTCTATCAGGGTAATAATATGATATCCATAGGAAAAAAAAGAAAGAAAATTGTATTTCACAGGCACTCCTTTTCTAAGTGAAAACCTAGATTATTGTCATGCAGCCTTTTCCTGAGAAGCTTACTAACAACAAATATTAGCAAGCTAGCACTTCATTGAACAAATAATACTGTGTTGTAATACATTATAATTGTTTAGAAGGAAATATTCACTCAAATTAGCTTAGTTTTATTGTTAATTTTTCTTACTAAAATATATTTGTACTGGTTACAGCTGAACTATTAGGAACACCATTTTCTTCATCCTTTTTCCTATCCAAAAACCTTTTTGTTAATCCAAACAGAAATTAAAACCCTTGCCTATTTCCTTGTTTTGTCTTAATTAATCTAATATTACTAGAGAATATACAGAACTGCTGAATTGCTACTTTTATACTGTCTTTTGAAAATTTAATATCTTAGTTTGGGTAGTTCTTAATGTCAACAACAGCTATTCTTTTTTTCTTTATATTATTCCACATGGTCAATCATTTAAGTCTGTTAGCATATCAGCTAAACTATGTGTTTGGGCCCATGGTGTTTATTGCAACATAAAGCTTGTTAAACTAAGTCAAAATGTCAAGATATTTTCTAGCAAGAAAGAAATAAGCAGTTTTTTCTTCTGAATGAAATTAGTTTGAAAATGCATCTTTAACTAGTCATCCTAAATACAAAATGTATAGTAAATTTTATTTTTAAAGTAATTACTCTAGGAAGTGGGTTACTTTATTTTCTGATATGCTGATTACTTGTAAACTTATTTTCCAAGATGAAAATGTACTTAATTTTATAACATCTTTTTTCAGGTCTCTGACTTCGGAGGAACAACAGATTTTTGCCTACTGGAAGAATGCAGTGAAACTGCCAATATTTCTAGCTGGGATTATAAATTTAATATTCAACTTTAGTGTTACTAATTTCTTACTAAATAGTACCTCAAAGTAGAAGAAAAATGTATGGAAGTGCAAGAACAATCAGCAACTTAGAAGGAAGTCCCTCCAGGTCTCCTCGTTTGCCAAGGTCTCCTCGTCTGGGCCATAGGCGAACAAATAGTGGAGGAGGAGGAGGAACAGGTAAGACGTTATCAATGGAGAACATCCAGTCCCTTAATGCAGCCTATGCAACATCTGGACCAATGTATCTGAGTGACCACGAAGGTGTAGCTTCTACTACTTTCCCAAAGGGCACAATGACTCTTGGAAGGGCTACAAATCGAGCTGTGTATGGTGGTCGAGTCACAGCTATGGGGAGCAGTCCTAATATTGCTTCAGCTGGACTTTCGCACACAGATGTCCTCTCGTATACTGATCAGCATGGAGGCCTGACCACATCGTCACACCATCACCACCATCAGGTTCCTTCTATGCTGAGACAGGTTAGAGATAGTACCATGTTAGACCTGCAGGCTCAGCTTAAGGAACTACAGAGGGAGAATGATCTTCTCAGAAAAGAACTAGACATTAAGGACAGCAAGCTGGGATCCTCCATGAATAGCATCAAAACTTTCTGGAGTCCTGAGCTAAAGAAAGAGAGAGTATTGAGGAAAGAAGAAGCAGCCAGAATGTCAGTTCTTAAAGAACAAATGAGAGTTTCCCATGAAGAAAATCAGGTAAGTAATTCTGAAAGTTTCTTTCTGTTGATTTACAGCTAAGTACTTGATGTTTTGCTTGTGGTACTGTATCCTATGCTGGAACAAGTTTGACATTTACAGCAAGAATTGTATGTTTTGGTTTGTCTCCCTCTAGCTGCTAAACAGTAGGAAAGGACATTAATAAGAAGCTGAATGCAGGTTATGATTTCCTTCATGCAGCATTCTTTCACATTATAGCTGACGAGGATGGTTGTCACTACCTGTTTTCTTATTTTTGAGACTCTAGTGGTTTTTTGCAGCAACAGTGTAAATATACTCAGCAGCCTTTTCTGAACAGGTAAATGAGCCACTTCTGCAAAAGTATAAACATCCAGAGGCATATTTTGTATGAACTGTATAGGGATTTAGCTGGCCAGTTCTTTAAAGTTAAAAGAAGATATGATATCATATCCCCATATGCAACCTTCTATAGTTCTATGTTACAGAATGAAGTTGTGTTTTCAGCAACATTTCAGAGACCTGTCACTTAGGAAAAGTGCATCTTGTAAATATGTATTTCGGATACTTCTTTTCACAACATAACATTCTTTTCCCAAAGTTATAAAAAGATTACAGTATTTTAATCTGAATGAATAAAGCTATAAGGTCAAGCTTTGAGACTCTAAGCTATTTCACAAAGCCATACAAAACCGTGGCACAGAATAGATCAAAAAAAATTCTTGTATTGCTGTCTCCACACACTTTTTGGCTGTTGGTCTCATTTTAAAGCTGCTCCTTTTTAGACCATCTGTTAACTTTCCCTAGACAAAAACACAATCCTGTGTTTCTCTCACTTGCAGTTTCCAAATCTAAACTTCTTTGCTGGCAGGCAGCAACAACTGAAATTTTTAATTTACTCCCGAGTTTGTGATCATGAGTGCTTCTCACCAAACTTTCCACTTCTTAGGCTTGTCATGAACCTAAATACCTATGGAACTAACAAGTCTGATACCAGTTACTTCAGTGGGAAACTGGCTGGGTCTTGATCAGGAATTCAGTACAGTGAATTAATTTATTATTTTCTTGTATAACTTGTGTATCCAGACTGACAGTGATAGTTACTGAATATTTATTTATAGCAGGTGCCCTAGGATGCTGCTAGAACCAATATTATCAAAAGCATGTTTGGCGGAGGTTCTGCTATTCAAAAGCCTTATTGGTCAGACATTCTAATCTTGATAGTTGGTGTCACCTTAGCGGCAGGGGGAATATTCTAATACACTCTGTTTTGGTACCCTTTCCTATGGAAATGTCACATTAATATCTTGTATTGGCATTTGGAATCTGAATCTGGTATTCAGAGACTTTGTCACCTGCCAAAGTGGTTATGCGTTTGTTTGGTTTTTTTTATTCTAAAAGCTATTTCCTCATCTTGAGGGGAAAGTAAATTAGTAACTCTGCTATGAGTCCTCCTATTCATTCATTCATTTCATAGAAGATTATATCTTTTTATTTTTAACAAGCGCTCTTATTTTTTTGTAAGAGTGAACCTAACAAAAGACGAAAAGAATGTATTTTACCCTATCTAGATATTTAACATGAATCCTTACTCTATAATAATATGACATAAAGACTGGGTAGCCCAGTATTCCATTACTAACAATGTCCAAAAGTTCATAGAATAGAGCTAGTATCCAGTGATATCTCCACTGAGTACTCTTTATGATCCAGCTACAGTTTCTGTGTGCTTAATAACTCTCAGTGGACTTTTCTTTGAATTAAGCCAGCTGCTTTTGGACCTATGTGAAATAGGTCCACAACCTCTTACGACAGTGAATCCCACAGCTTAACGTGTCATGTGAAGAAGCACTGCTTTTCATTTGTTTTTACACTAGACTTTGGCTGCTTTTGCTAGGATTTCCAGTTCCTCATACTGGAAGAAACATTAAATAGTTGATGTCTGGTGCCAGTCTCAGTGCCGCCTATGATTTTACAGGACACTGTCATCACATCCCTCCCTCAGCAACTTTCCAGATAGGAGAATCTTAGCATGTGTGATAGTTCCTTTCATGAAACTCTGACGTTTCTTTGATTCTTCTCTGAATCTTTTTCAGACCTATTAATTTTTTTTTTTGAGGAGACCAAAATGGATTGTGTTTTTCATAATACAGGTGTAAAATGGGTTATGCATTGATGTTACAGTGTTTGCCCTTTTATTCTTTCTCAACACTCAATTTGTTTGTTCTTTCTATCTTTGGATGACCTTTTTTTTTTTACTGCTACTGAGTACTGAGCTAATATTTTAATGGAAATATTTATCATAGATGAAGAATCTCTCCAGTGATTATAATCATTTTACATCCCAGCTTGTTATGTATGAAGGTGGGATTATTTTCACTTGTGTATAACTTCACATTTATCTCCATGAATTTTATCTGCCAGCCCTTGCCTAGTTGCTTAGTCTTATAAAATCCTTCTTTGCATTTGGCTTTTGTCTTTACTGCCCTGAATAACCTAATATGATGAGGAGAATCAGTCATCCTTCTGTTCTCCCTGTTTTCTGGGTTGTTTAGGATGTGTGAGACAGCACAAAGCCCAGCCACAGGTTCCAGCAAAACTCCACAGGGGCCTTCTGTTGGTTTTATGACTTGACCAGGTGTTTCTGCTATTTCCTCTATAGTAATCAAATATTTATGTATGAAAGGACCATGCCTCTTATCTAATTGCTCCATAGTTTTCTTGTAAGCATTTGGAGAGGAGCCTCTCTGAAAGAATGGCTTTGGAATTCCAAGCTGGCTGTGTCAGCTAGTTTGTCAGTCTTACTTATCCGCATCGTTATTGATTCTTTCAAACAACTAATTTCAATTACAATTATCAAAAAGCTATAATTTTAAAGACAAAAAAGAGTGGTGCCATCTCTCACATCTATATCAAAAAGTAATAGATCTATCCTTGTGTGTGTGAGGGTTACTGGCTTATGAAACTTCCTTTCTTAAAAACCGAGATGTTTCTTACTGAAACACTAAAAACTGTTTTCAGGTTGGCTGTGCATGATGAAATTGACCCTGAGTGGGGCCCTTAGTCTCATAGCCAACTTTGGGAACTCCCAGGAGACTGGAGAAGGGCAAATCTAGCTGCCTGCCGAAAAAGGGGGGAAAAAAGAAAAAAAGGAAAAAATAGAAAAGAAAAAAAGCGAGAGAAATGAGTGAGTTGAAAGTCTGATATTTTTATTGCAGTTTCTGGAAAAATATTGTAAGAACAAACAAAAAATTATTTTTAACCTATTATTTGTATTTTTTAAAAAATATTAGCTATTTCTAAAATACAAGGAATACAGGGAAAATATATAAAAAAAGACTAACACTGAATATGGATTTGTCAAGCATAATGTCAAACAAGTCTGGTTTTCTTGGATTACAGGAAAACAGACTTTGTGCATAAGGGAAAAGCAGTAGTAATGTATTGACATTGCGAAAACTTCATTTTGTCTCAGAAGATTTTCATTAGCAAGCTGGTGGGAAGCATATGAGATTAAATCAGTATTATATGGATGCCTATCTGATTAGAAGACTGCATCAAAGTGTAATTATCAATTCATGGTGAAATTGGAAAGATCTCTAGCAGGATCTGGTAGGGATCTGTCATGTGAGCCTTTCATCAATGTTCTGAATAATGGATATGTATTACGCACTCAGATAATGTCAAGCTGGGAAGGGTTAAACCATGCTGCAAAATAGGATTATAAATGAAAATAAATTTGGCAAATTGAAGAAATAGTCTGAAAAAGTAGGATTTGTTTCAACAGAAGATTGATAAACCTTTTGGAAGCAAAAAGAGACCCATGAAGAAATTTATGGATGGTAACTTGGTAATTCCTGATTTTTCTTTTGAGGATTTTTTTGCTTTTGAAAATGTATGCTTCGGGCACCTGTTCTTTGATATTACAACCCAAAGTTAGTTGTCTTGTTTTTCTGTTCTTCTTTCTTCTTCTTTGTGACATATTTTCTCACAGCACAATTAGTAGTATTCTGTATATGGATTGATTATATACATAGGGGCAGGAAGTACTCTAGATGTTTTTAACTATTTAAAGTGGTTCTTCATCTTGGAATCATCCATTTCACAGAGATTTTTGCATTCCCCCCCCCAGGTAGATAGATATTCTCTCTAATCTTGCTTGAATGTGTTATATAGAAGAGTTAATGTAGAAGGTTTCAATGGAGAGCAGAAGGCTATGAGGTGGAAAGAACTGGGAGGACACAAGAAATTATTCAGCAGTATTCATTCCCAGGATTGTTGCCTGTCTGTCAAAAAAAGAGGGAGAACTAGCTTATCCATTTGGATTAGCTGGCTCTAAGACAACATATGTTTATCAGTTGACATGCTGCTTTTATGACATTGCAATAACTGAATTAGATTTACTGTGACATTTCTTAAATAACCTGTAAACTCAGTTGGACAAAATAATGCCCCTTTTCCCTACTTACAGATGTCATTATTTAATACTACATAATTAATACAAAATGAACCACTGCATGCAATGAACAGTGGCTCTTTTTCATTCGTGATATGGTTATATGTTGTTGTTGGAAATAAATGGTGAGTTTGATCCTTTTTTTTTTTTCTTACAGAAAACCAGGTAATTTTAATTTGCTTAATGTGTTCTTTGAAAACATACTGTAAATTTTGATCTTCTTTTGAAGTTTAGTTCCTGTCCTGACACTGCAGGAGTTTGCTTCTGATTAATGAGATGAAGAGAAAGGATAAAAAACCATAGTGAACAGTTCCTCTGAGAGGCTCATATTTTTGAATACAAAATTGTTCCTTGAAATAATTTTTATGTATCTGTAGCAACATGAATAACTCATAGATGCTGCAATGAGCAGAATAGAGCTGATAGAAGTCAGTAGATAAGGTTATGTGTATTCATGAAGTCAGAAGTGTGAGTAATTGTTTCACATGCTCTTCATTTTTACTTTGATTCAGGATAAGTGTCTAAGTAGAACAGTAAAAGAAAATACACTAAGAAATATTCTGAA